CAGATCACCATACCCCTCGTAAAATTGTCTATCTGCTGGAAGTGTCTTCGTTAACGGCGGCCTAGCCATTCTCTCTTATTACACGTATCCTCCGGGACAAAAACAAACTTTCTTCGATAATTCGTCTGGCAGAAATAACGACACGAATATTGCCCATTCTGCACGTTCCTTTCCTTATCTTACTTCGCGTGTGTCGGAGAGCTGCATATTTCACATCATTCGCATAACTCAGTGACGTGTGTCTACGCTACAATTTGCATAAATTTCTGACCACTCCTTCTTGGTGTTCCATTTTCAATGTCGAGCAGTGTATCTTCATTAGAAATTGAAAAATGTAGAAAAACATTAAAACAATTTTCAAAAAATTACAATTAAAATTAGTTTATTCACAAAGCAAGCAATTCGGCCGGCAGTCAAAAAGACAGATTTTTCGGTGCCAAAACTGAAAGTTTACTTTTGGTTCCACTCGGCAAAAGGAAACTGAAGGTGCAAAAACTGACGTAATTCACTATTCTTCTACGTTTTAAATGTAAACAAGCATGGCTGCTATGGTAAAAAAAAATTAGGCTTAGCCGAACTTAAACAACTTTTTTAAATTATTGACAATTCTACGATTATTGCATGCATATTAATTAAAGGCATAAAAACCTTAACCGGAAATTAAGAACAACATAATTGAATCACTTTGAAAACAAAGAATGCACGATTTGCCAACATATAAGATTAAAAGAATTGAGCTCACAGAACCGAAACAGAGTGGGTAAAGCACACATACATATATATATGTGTGCCGAAACACACATATATACATATTATTTTGAAGCGGCCGATTGCAAATAAAATGGGAGGGGCACAACTACATATTATGGCAAACCTATGTACAAAATCTCAACGTTCTGAAGGTTCTCTTTTTGAGTTATGCGAGATACATACATACGTGCATTCATACGTAGGTACAGACGTAGGGACATACAGACATCACGAAAAAACTTTCTTCTGATTCCATTTTACAATCTGTTTGGGAAGAAAGAGTCCTTTATTCTTTCCTTGTAGAAAGATTAGGTATGTTTTAGAAGCAGGAAAGATGAAAAATGAGCAACACCCTCGCCGGAAATCGAACCACCTCTGGAATACGCATCCAGAGTGCAGACTACTACATTAAGAAGGTATGCTAAGAAGGCGGGAGAAATACTTTATTTACTCCCCTTTTAAAGGGCAACTGCAGTTTTTAGGTAACCCAATCTCCAAATCCTGGGGGTAGAGAATCATCATCCACCCCCCTTTTAGTTCGGGCGCCACTTGTAGAGACATTATTGGGTAAGTGCAAAAGTTATACCCGTTTTTGGATGTGTAAATTTGCAATGGAACTGACGCCACACATGTCATTGTAATGACAAAAATCGTCAGCCAATCAAACTTGTGGATGTCTCATGTATAAATGCATTGTGTCTCACATAGTTAATCATCTGAAGGAAAATCTCAGATGATGTAACATGGAAAGCGACAAGGAGTATATAAAGACACTGTTTGTTATACGAGTTCGATAAAAAGAGCACGGCAGCCACAGCACGTCGCAATGTTTGTCGCCGGGAATAGAACCAGGGATCTGTGGATTACGCGCTCAGCGTACAGACCACTACATTACGAAGGCATGCTAAGATGGCGAGAGAAGTACCTTATAACCTTAAGTACTGATGTCACCCAAAACATCGTTGAATTGCATTCGATAGCGGTGAAATGGATATTTCCATTCAAATATGATACCCGGAATTTTCGCGATTGCAATAGTACCTTTACTTCGTACAAGGAAATAAAAAGGACTTAATAGTAATCAAACTATTTTAAAAACAAACTTACAGGTTTATAGGCAATATAGCGGTAAAAGAAAGTAAAATATTTACAGTAATTGAATATGTGGAAAGACGTATCCAAAAATCTATGTAAGTATAGTTCAGTAATTCAGTTTAATTCAGGGTAATTTCTTTAAGTGAGGTTCATAAATATGAAACAGCAATGTATATTTATTGGAAAATACTTGCATGGAACATTGCCTTAATCAACAATACTTCCTTGAATGTCATGCGAATGATTCGGCGATTGCTGCATGATTAATTAATGTTAACTATGCAATAATAAAAAAGCGGCAAGATCAAATACTTTACATTAAGAGATAGTATACTTCATAGACAATTGGCATCAATGCAATGATATTTCAGTTATTTATTATCAAATGGAAAAATCCTCACACTTAACCTATTCATCAGATCTTCTTAAATAACAAAAAAGAAAAAAAGTAAAAAAAATCAATATCGGTTTCTTTGCGTTGTTTCTAATGCTTATTATTGTGTCAGAAATAAACACTCCATGAAGACCTTAGACTTGACACTACCGAAACCTATCTCAATAAGACAAGTACAAAATTTTACGGCAAAGCACTTGGCTGTGAACATTTAAATTTCATCAACCACTTCAATTATATATGAGTACTTGAGGCGGACTATGATCTTAGTCCATTTGCTGCCCTCCGCAAAAAAGAATGATTTTTCTTCTACCTAGCTTTTTATGCCTTTTATCATTTCTGTGACTGCATTTGTTTTGTATTTCATTGTTCTGGCGATGTATTTGTATTCTACAGAGGCTGTTCGCACAATTTTAGACCATTTTGGTAAGTGATAATAAAAACTCGTTTGCTGCAAAAGAAGTAATTGCAATTGTACTATGTTTTTAAAAGTCAAAATTATCGTCTGGGGCCTGAAACTGGTGTTTTTATTCAAAATGACGAATTTAACAAAGCAATGGTTCGAAGGCTACATTTACGCTCTTTCCGAAGAGAAATATGCATACTCCGTTATCCAAAAACGATGTGGAGTCATAGTTTTGTGATGTTTAAAGCGTCGATAGATAATATCATAAACAAGAAAAGAAAAAAACGTCAAATTGGAGCCTCAAGTGGGGCAAAAATTCCAAACAAGTATCCAAGGAAAAAATGGACATCTTCGAATATTGCAAATGTACGTTGTTTAATGTTAAAAAAAATCCCCCTAGTCAAAGGACAGTTGCAAAATCATTAAAATGCTCGGTGTCCACTGTAAACAAAATGATAAACCTTGATTTAAATCTTAAGAAAGGAAAAAACACAATGTGTATCGTCCTCTTCCAAAGCATATCGCTCAACGCAGGACACGCTGCAGAATTCTATATGAGAAACACTTATCCAAAGAAAAATGGAAAACATTTGTCACTATAGATGAAGCATGGGTGTATTTAAATGATTGTAACAAAAACAGAGCCATTTATTATCATAGAAAGGGAGGAAAAAATTTAAGTACATGGTTCAAAGAATCGAAAGAAAGTTTTTCTAAGGTATTCATGATTGTTGTTGGTTTTTCTTATAATGGCAAGTTAAAAATAAAGAAAGTGCAAAAAAATGTCAAGATTAACTCCAAATACTATCAGAAACATATTTTATCGCCAATTTTTCTGAATGAAATACCATCGCTTTACCCATCAATCTTTGAGACTCCATCAGGACAAAGCTAGCAGTCACACATCAAAATCCACTGTAAATTTCCTAAAAGAAATAGAACAAAAAACTGGTATCAAGGCCATACCCTTCACTGATATCCTTACTAAATCTCCCGATGTGTGGCCTATGGATTTTTGTGATTTCGGACTTTTAAAAACTGCATTATTCAAACGTTGTCCCAAAACCCTAACAGGACTCTGGAAAGCTGTTTGGGAAGAATGGGATAGAATACCTCTTTTGCCACTTCAAAAGGCATTATCATCCTGGAAATTGCGGTGTCGAAAGATAGTTCAGAATAAGAGATGTCAAAAAGAACATTTAAAACACAAGAAATTTATGTAATTTAGTTTTGTGAATACAATATACGTCGTCTAAGAAATGTGTGAACAGCCTCTGTATTTTGACGCTTTTCCTGTTTATGTAGACTGCTAATTTTCAGATTTTGGAGTACTGCCAGTACAATTTACCTACACATATTGACTTGATTGGTTCACAGGTACTGCAGCCATGTTTTTTATTTTGCAATGTCGGATCATTTCACGATCCTTATGCTCTATTTTGCCGTCAAAAACTGTTACGCCCTTTGGGTATGTTTATGGTAGTAATATGTTTTATAACTTTATTTGTCATCGATCCGGACATGTCGCGCTTTAAACGATATTCGCTAAATTTTCTAGCTCGATTCTATTCGATTTGAAACATAGAAAACCTTGAGAAAACCTCTCTTTGGCTTTCCAGATATCTCAGGCCTCAGTTGGGACACTAGACGGATAACAGTAGGGAATTTCATCCTTTGCTGTAAACCAGTGTAGCACGAAAATATCAAAGGAATGTTGTAGAAACAAGTACATTTCTTTCCTTTAAAGCAATGTTTTAAGTTCATAAATATGGCCGCCACTTGCTAGGTAGGGTTCATTTTCAGATGGTGGAAGAAACTGAAAATCTCCCCCTCGCTTGTATTCTAACCTCCTTGGTGAAATCAAGCATTCATACTGAAAGGACGCTCAACGTATGCGCCCGGAAACAATTGACGCAGGCGTTGTGCAAGTTGGGGTTGGAGAAGAACCCAAATGTTGAGTTCTTTAAGGTCATCCTTCCTAGAATTCATTTCTTAGAATTGCGTGGGAAGCCGCCGATAAAGTTCTTTTCATTGCTGGTGTAAACCAGATAACGATTAATAATTTTTTTGAGAATTTTAAAATTAAATTCGAATGAGTCTTAAAATTAAGTTCGAATGACAAAACATATTCATCGCCCACTACCGCCCGAAACATCCCCATCGCCCTCTATTGACCAAAACAAGTTCACTGCCCATCAGCATACTCCTATTGTCCCGAGGGTGGCACCGCCCCCTTTGAGAACCGATTGTTTAGTCGATAGTTTAAAAAGTATTTAAATTTAACTTAAGCATATATTTGTAGTAAATTCCAGACTGTCAAGTATATTCAATATTATGTCATTTATTTTTCTTTAGAGAGAATGCTTACTCTTTTGGCTGCATACTGGTGGATCTTCAAAACACATGTAGCGAAGCTGCTCGAGAACTTACAATGGAAGTCGTTAGCCGATTAATGAATGAATTGCCAGATGAATGTTCTAATTTAATTACAACCGAAATAAAAAACACATTCCTTGCATCCTTGCTTCTGGAAGATGAACAGAGAAGAATTTACTCTTCAGCACTTGAGATATTTCTGACGAAATAAATTCAAAATACTCTTCTGTAAGAAAGTAGATGAGCTGTGTGAGTTTCATTACAAATATATATTTTAGAATTTTGTTAGTAATAATTGGATGTTCGAATGTTTCAACTGTTTGTACGAATGTTTCAGCTGTAATAAAATCTGAACAATGCAAAACATCTGCAGTGACTCATTAACATGCAAAATGACGAAACTAATACGCAAAACGTGAAATTGTTTGATTTTGGAAATATAACCTTTTAATTTCCATTTATCATTCGGAAACATATTTTATGAAATTGAAATGTTAACTTAAGTAAGAAACGAGTAGTCTTGTAATAACTCACAAATAAGAAACATACTACAAAGCAGTAGGGAATATAGCAGTCATGCTTTATAAATAAGTAGACTAGGTCTAAAAGTAATGAAGTGGAAGTAATCTAAAAGTTAAGAAATAAAAATTGCCTTTTTTTTTACTTTTGAAATTCATGCATATGGGTTAGGTATCTGCTTTATTCGCAAACGTTCATAGGTTTCAGGTTTTTAAAAAAAGGCTTTATTTATGTTTTTGTTGAACCTTTTTTGTGGACCTATCCTGATCTATTGATTACTAAAAGGCACCAAAATGAACGCAGCTATCTACTGTTAAATTTTAATTTAATTATTTTTTGCAGCATATTACCTAAAAGAGTTTTCCACTTACGTTTTTTCTATTATTTTATGTAACTATATTTGGCTATTCTCTTCAAATAGATGAAAAATATTTAAATAATTTTAATAATTTTTATTTGGAATTTAACGCTAGAATTTTTATGATTTTTGAGTAATTTTGTCATTTTTTTATTCCACTTTTCTTGGAGACTCAGTAATTTGCAGAATTGTTTTCCTAGTTTCAAATTTAAAAATTTCTTAACTTCAAATTTTAATTTTGTATGGTATAATATCATATAACTTACTTAGGTTTTTGATGAAACAGATTATATCTTAAAGGTTTCTTCAAAATTTTTAATTTTAATATTAATTATTATTTACATTTTGTTACCATTTCTTTAATGGCTTTTTAACTATATTGTTTTAACTTCAATTTAAATTTATTTACTTTTAAGCTACTTATTTTTTTAAATGAATTCCTATTAATTTTTATGATTTATTTATCGAATTTATTTTTATAATCATCCAGATATGATTTAAGAACGGGGTTCTGCGGAAATTTTTCTGCTTCTACTGAAAATGACCCAAGAATTTTCCACGATTTGCTATTGTATTATTTTGTTTTTGTTTCAGTTTCGTAGTTTAAATTTCTATTTGTATTAAGTATATATTCTTCTGTTAGTAAATCTGCCATCTTTTTATTGATTTAATTTTTCAAATTATTTTTTGATTACTTAATTAATGTCGCAGCATGCTGCTAGTTTATCGTGAAGCGGCTGTACGTTGCAGCGTGCTATACCGCCGAGATCAATAGCCGTGTAAGTCGTCTACCGAATGAAAGCTTGCTTAGATGTCTTCGGGCTCTCAGGATGAAGGACGTCTGATTTCAAAAACCTTTGTTTCGTGTCTTGCACAAGACGCGATGCAGCGCTCACTGGAACAAAGATATGCGATAACGTTTTGTGTAAAACTCGGGAAGTTTGCACTGAATACTTTTCGAATGGTTGAATTCGAGGAAGAACTTGATCACAAAGACAAGTCCATAGATGCCACAAGACGTTTTTGGAAGGCCGTGAAGAGGTCGATGACGAAATCCGAGTTGAATGCTCGTCACCTTCCTCAGATGAAGAAAAGATGACGAGAGTTCGTGTGAAATGACTTTTGCAAACAGACCGTCGAATGAGTTCATACTAAGTATTCCAAACTTCCACGAGACTTGACCAAGAATTTGCAAGAGAAAAGTGTCAACACATTTCCGAAATTTTGGAAATGTGTGAAAATGATCCTCACATTTTGGGCAATGTTATCACGGAAGATGAAACACGGATATATATAGATCAGTATGATCCCGAAAGAAGAGCGACCTCCGTGTCCTCCTCCTCATATGTGTCCCTTGCCCCAAGAAGGCTCGAATGAGCAAATCAGATATCAGGACCATGCTATTTTGCTTTTTGGCATCAGCGAATAGTCCACCGTGAGTTTGGACCTCCCGGCACAACCGTTAACCCTATATTTTACATACAAGTCTTCAAGAGAAGACAGCAAGGATCCAGCGCATGAGAGCAGACATCAGAGGTGACATTAGAGGCAATTTGAAACTTCATCGTGACAACGCGCCAGCACACACTGCCTTCGTCGTGAATGACTATCTCGCCAACTGTAAAGTGCAAACGGTGTCCCAGCCACTCTACAGTCCTGACATGTCTCCTACAGACTTTTTTGCTCCCTTGTTTGAAATGTATCTTCCCTGAAAGGACATTTTTGCAGAACAATTGATGACATGAAAGCATATTGTGAAATGGCTTTATACACATTTCCTGAATAGGTCTTGGTTTAAAGTTCTGGATTAAGTGCCATCCATAAAACTTTTATTAAAGTTGATTCTATACACCATTTATGAGAAAACTATTAAAGTGCCTTCTTCGTTATCGAGATTAAAGCCAAAATACCTATTTGAAATGATATTGTACCTAAGTGCTTCCGGTTTGTACATTGCATTATAAGGCATTTTCCCCTTCTTTCTTCGTGCTGTAACGGTAGCAGACTCGACACATATTCGAGAAGTCCAAATTTGAGACCCGGCGATGATATTACACATTTTTCACATCTCTAGCATCAAAATAACTTAATAACTCTACCATATGATATTAATGTGAAGAAATACGAAGAACATATACTATAAATATTTTATTTGAAGTAGCACACATTAACATGAATCCTTTTGATTTCAATGGTTTCTGCCAGATAATAATTTTATAGAGAAACTATTACTGATTTACAAAAAATGGTTATTTTTACTACTGATGGGGCAGCTGTAATGCTAAGAAAATGGAAACAGGAAAACTAAAAGAAAAATACGCCAAACAAATAATAATGCCAGCAAATTTTAGATAATGCCAAAAAAATATGAAAACAATTCAACGGTGTGCAAAAAGGACTTAAAATGGATTCAGAAGAGAGATTTTTTCGTACGTATGTATGTATGAATCTCGCATAACTCAAAAACGAGTAGCCTCAGAACGTTGAGATTTTGTATATAGCTATAACATACATGCTATAACATACAGTATATGCTATAACATACAGTTGTGCACGTTCCTTTTCGGTTGCAATCGGTCACACCAAAAGCATATGTAGGTATGTATATTGTTTAAAAAAATAGTAAAGTGAAGTTAAATTTAAATAATTCTCTTGCGCCATTGCTGCAAGGAATGAAATTTGAATTTAACAAACATTCTCTATTCGCAAAAAGCAAATTTAAAGTTAATTAAATTTTAAATAATCAAATTTAATGCAAACAAATAAATAATAATTATTGCTGCGAACTAATCTATAATATCATTTAAATTCTGAGAGCATATGTAAATCAAGTGCAAGTATCAAAATCCATGAATAAATATATAATTCCAAACATGTTTTAATCCTAAAAAAATTTATAAAAAATGCATAAGTGAATAATTTTTGAGCAGGCAGGAGACAGACTTATTATCGAGGGGAAGTTCTCTTGAAACCTAACTCTTCAATTATTTAATTCGTGTTTCGTCATCCATGTAGGCAAGGGTAAAAGTTAAAACCAAATGTTGCGAATTACTGAAAAGAAATTTAAACAAGTGAAATTTCGAAAAATTAGAAAGTAAATGACTAGAATTAATATTAAAAAAGTAAATGACTAGCGTTAGAATTAAAATTTGCTTTTTATGAATAGAGAATGTTTGTTAAATTTAAAGTGAATGTGTATATATATACCCACTCTCTTACACGGCTATGTGACCTCAGCTTTTTTTTCTTCTTATATGTTGATAAGCTGTGTATTTTTAATTTAAAAATTATTTAATTATGTTGTTCTTATTTTCCGGTCAAAGGTTTTTTGGCTTTACTTAATCTGCATGAATTAGTTGTAGAATTATCAACAATTTAAAAGTTGTTTAAGTGCGTCTAAGCCTAATTTTTTACTTCCTTGTACGAAGTAAAGGAAGTATTGTTATAACAAAAATTTCCGGATACCATACGTCAACGAAAATATCCACTTTGATCGCTATGGAATGCAATTTAACGATGTTTTTGTTTGACATTTATACGTAAGTGATAAGTGACGGAGGACGTGGGCACTGTCCCTTTACCTTAATGGTTAATCAGTACAGCACCATGTCCGCCATTATCCAGAGCCACCAATGGGGTTCGCTGCCGTCCAACTGCCCGGGTCCCAGTGTTTGTTGATATCTGAGAAAAATATAAATACATGGCCATACAGGGGCTTTTTTAACATGCTACTTTTACAATACGTTACGATACTAATGATTCAATTATAATACATTTAAAAACTAATTTTGCAGCATGCACTATATATGACGATACTGATTTATACAATTCATACATTACCAATTATACATTAGAGTACGAATTATGCAATTTCAATACATTATGATACTAATTATGCAGTACACACATAGACTTTACAGTGTAAGTTACGATGAATAATAGAAACATTACCAATTATACAATTATTATTCATTACAATACTAATTACATTACCAATGATACAATTATTATACATTATAATACTAATTACATTACCAATTATACAATTATTATACATTACAATACTAATTATGCACTGCTACTGCTAGTAATTCTGATAAATATTACACATAGTTATGCAGTAATTGTGCAATCACGAAGTGAAACCTTTGTGGCATATTTAATTTCGGATAACGAGAGGCTTCGTTTTGACAACCATAGGGGCGGTTATTATTTATGGTATAATTTTGTTTCAATTTCTCCACAACTCAATTAATGGAAGGTATTTTCAGATTGCTATAAATCTTAAGTGTTTTATTAATTGCAAAAATTGTCGCTTTTTTAAAAACTCTTAATTAAAAAACGTCTGAAAATTATAACGTTTTTTCTTCTCTGTTCATTTACGCACCTTGCGGCATAAGTTTAACACAAGTTCATTAAAACCTATTTGCTTAGAAAAACTGTTAATATTTAAGTGTTATATGTCGATAACAAAGATGAAATTAAGTGGAATATTCAAACACAGAATTTAGGTAAGACTTTCGTTTTACTTCCTATTATATTTATATATGTAAAACATGAAATAAATGTAATGAAAATCCCTGAAAGGTTTCAGATTTTAACGATCGCCCAGTAGGTTTCTTAAAGTTTTTTACGCTCTCGCTGAGATCGCGGTCTACCACTCTGTTGTTACACTTGTAAAGACATTCGGTTAATTTTTGAAGCCAGAGAGATGAAAAATTAGCAACCGCCTTCGCCGGGAAACGAACCATACCGGCCCAGCGTGCAGAACCACTACACCACGAAGGACGCTAGGAAAGTGGGGGAAATACCTTATACACTCACTCCTACTAACCCATTTGTTTTTGTCGTTTTAGCTTTATTATTAAACATAATTTTTTTCGCACTTATGCCATGTACAACTCAACAGCCAAATTACAAAAATTTTAAAAGCAGCATAGCAGTGTACGTTTATAATTTCCGATACTGAGTTAAGTGTTGGATACATATTTTTCTATTTTTTAGCCCAAAGGGGCAAGTTGCCCAGAAGGGCTATTAATTTCGTTTTGGCATTTTGCGTTAATTCACTATAAACGGCGAATCACTTTTTAAATTGTTACCACCAATTATTAGAGACCTGTAATATATTTCAAGAAATTAAATAATGAAGAATCTGCATAATTATACGTATGTTTTTCACATTGTGATAAAACAACAGTAGCTACAGCCATAAAATTTTGAATAACGTATATCTCCACTCGAATTTGGGCATCTGGAAGCCCAAATTGGGAATTTAGAATTTGTTTTATTATCAACTTCATAATTTAAAAAAGCATTTATGAGTTTTTTTTATTATCTATTTCATATTTTGTAAAGCATTTATGAGTTTTTGAGGTACTTTTCCGTTTTGCCGGCGCAGGCGATAAAATCGCCAGCAATAATAAAACTGATGCCAAAAGGAATATCCTCTCTGGTAACCTTTTATGCCTCATTTTCAAAACAATTCGAAGCCAGTTCTTCTCATATTGATTGTTTCTTTCAATACTGGCATACAATTACATAGAATTTTTAACAGATAGTTCAATTTTATGCCCCAAAACCATTCACGGTAATTAAGTTAATTAGAATGCAATCATACGGCTCACCCGAAAGCGAAAATACAGAAAAGGCAAGGTCAAGGGTTAAATTCATTAATTCTAATGAGAATGCACTAGCGAAGTAAAGCACTGCGGTTTTACATAGTTTCTGAGTAAGCTATTCGTACGAATTGAAATAATTCGTGCATTTAACCTTGTATTCCAAATTAAGATTTAACCTGAAAATAATGTAGATAATTACTGAGAGAATTAGACTTTTGTACTGTAGTTTACGTAAGAGGAGATCAATTGGGGTCGTGTGATATGAACCGACGAATCAGGATGTTGAACCATGAAAGCATAGTAAATTCTTAATGTCTTTTTACAAATTTATTGTGTATATTTATTGGTCTTTTAGAAAATTTTAAGCGATATTAAAATGAAAAAAAAAAATAAATAAAATAAAAAATTCTTAGAATTACCATTTGTTCACATGTTTTATGTATATACTGTATGTTGTCGCCAATACAGTCTGCTTGGCGAGATTTGCTTGGCTAGAAACGGAAAAGCACCGTTTTTGATTAAAAAACAACGATTTCAAAGCGAACAACGACAACACTGTACGGAAAAAAAAATATCTCCAGTGCGCGAGACTGCGTATCGGAAATTCTAAGGATTTGCTGTTTTTAAATATTTTCTGATTTTGTTCTTGAATTGAATTTTATAGTTTAAGTGCGAAGAACATGATATTTTTTAATAAATAAAGGTAACACAGAAAAAAATCCTTTTGGGAGTAATATAAAACCTGAAAACTTTCAATTTTTATTAATTTTTTTATATATATATATAAATTTCTAGTCTTTTCTCAGTTGATAATATCTATGTTCAGTTTTCTTACTAAAATAGCTTTAGAAAACTTTTTTCCGTTTTTTATGCTTAATGTTGTGTGGGTTTACTTTATTTATTAAATATGACGTTTTTGGCGCATACGGCACATAAAATTCGATTCAACAGAAACATCTCAAGAGATTTAAGAAGAGCATATCTTTAGGCATTGAGATAGACAGTCTAGCACGCTGGAAATAAAAATGTTTTATTCCGTACAGTATTGCCATTTGTCGCTTTGAAATCGTAGAGATTTTTAATAAAAAATTCCTCAATATTTTACAAAATATGAGATATATAAAAAACAAAGTCGAAAATCAGAATTCGGGCATCCAGTTGTTCATGTTCGGGTGATGCCCTACGTTATTCAAAATTTGATGGCTGTAAGTACCGTTGTTTTTGCGCAATGCAAGAAACATACATGCATTCATGCAGATTCTTCATTATTTAATTTTTTTAAACATAATACAGGGCGATAATGTTTGGTAGCAACAATTTTAAAAGTGATTCAACTCATTTAAGTGTTTCGACGCAAAATGGCATTTCGAGACTAACGTCCCTTTCGAGACTAATGTCATTTCGTGAGTAAAGTCCCTTTTGAGCTAAAAATATAACACCATTTCTGTAAATTTGCTATTATATCTGGGAATAAAAGATAGATTAAAGTTGTAAAAATAAATTTTTGCTAAGTGTCAGTTCATGATTAAATCTTTTAAAGTAAGCAAACATGTTTTTATAAAAGTAAAATTATATAAATCTAATATTTCTGAATAGTATAGTATTCATTAGTAATAACTCGGAGGGAATATCTAAAGTCCAGTTATAAGGTATTTCTCCCACTTCCCTAGCGTGCCTTCGTGGTGTAATGGTAGCACGCTGGGCCGGTATTCCAGAGGTCCGTGTTTCGCTTCCCAGCGAAGGCGGTTGTCAATTTTTCATCTCTTCAGCCTCGTAAAAAAGTAGCTATAGCGTTACGCCGCCATCGAAACCAATATCAATAGCTGTCAGAGTTCGAGTGGGGAAGAATCATCGGAATGATGAAAGCTGGGTGGTCAACTCGGCGAGTAGCTCGTCAGGTAGGCCGTTCTGATTTTACTGTAAGGAGGTGTTAGAACTAGTAGACAGAAAAGACGTCATTTACACGACGACCATGCTCAGGACGCCCTCGACAGACCAGTCGTCGAGCAGACTGCCACATCATACGACACTCACGCGTAGAGCCAACTACGCGGTAGCTACCCAGACACAGGCATTCTTTGGTAGCTATCCAGACACAGGCAGCAGCTTCTTTACGGGCCCCTGTGTCTTCCCGAACCATCGCAAGGAGCCTGGTTGAAGAACATCTAATATCGCGGTTCCCTTTACGTGTGCTGCTAATGACACCCACCGACGCCTCCGTTTCGAGTAGTGTCGCGCACGACAGGATTGGACTTTAATGGATGGAACCAGGTCGTCTTCAGCCACGAATCTAGATTCAATTTGATCAGTGATGACAATAGTGTTCGTGTATGGAGGCCCTGTGGTGAACGCCTCAATACTGCTTTCGCTTTACAGTGACACACCGTTACCACAGTTGGTGGTGATGGTATGGGGTGCTATTGCTTACGATACACAATCACTCCTAATATTGATCCATGGCACAATGACAGGCCAGCGGTATGTCCATGACATCCGTCAGCCACATGTGTTGCCACTCATGGCAGGGTTCCTAGGAGCCCGTTTTCAACAAGACAATACTCGGCCACACACAGCACGGATCTCATAAGACTGCCTCCGCCACATTAACACCCTTACCTGGCCTGCTGGATCCCCAGATTTGTCACCAATCGAGCATATCTGGGATCATTTGAAACCGCAAGTAGGGCAGCCTGCGGGATTGGCCGAACCAGAGGCGCGTTTACAGCAACTGTGGAACGAGATGTCTCAAAACACCATACGGAACTTGTATGCCTCAATGCCAGTGCTTATCGCATCGTGCATTCGCGCTAGACGTGGTCCAACAGAGTACTAAAACTTCTGTTCATGTGTACTTTTTTCTGCAATAAATTATCCTTTTTTCTTTATCCTTTTTTCTAATCACCTATTTATATCAAAGTAGTACTTACGTATGTAAAATTTAATTTCATTCTAACAAGTTTTTCTTGGTGCGCAAATTTTTATGGCAATGAGCGTATTTATTAAAATTATGCTCGTTTTCAATAGGCTGTGGAGGTAATTTTACAAAGAGCAGAGGCCAGATATTTTCTCCTTTTTATCCCCATATCTACGAACGTATCAAGTGCACTTATACTATTGGAAAAGCTGGCGAGTCCATAGAAATACAGTTTGATGATTATCTTAGTTCCCACTTTGATCAAAAAGGTAAATAACTAATTTTTCATTCCTTTTTTATCTCTTTTTATCTATAGAATGACTCTACTTCCTCTTTTTTGAATTACGCAACTGTTTTTGAGTAAAAATTTTTTACTGCTGTTTCTCCATCCTACAATGTGTAACTTAAATATAATATTCTAATGGCACAGCAAAGAATATTAAATGATTCTATCTTTATACCCAAACACAATAATCGCACAGTCATTAGTCTTTACGCAGACATCTGACTTGCTGAAATTTGTAGTCAGGTTTTAAGAATACAAATCATACTTTTAAACCCCAGGAAGTAAAACCTATACAATTTGGTAGATGCCACACGTCAGCATCAATGTCAAATTCGCATTATTTTTGCATCGTAAACTATTTTACATTCAGTGCTGAGAATCCACGAACAAAAGAGCAATAATACTGCTGAATAGTCGGGATTCTGCTTGGGTTCAAATGCTGGAAAACAGGCTGGCTGTATGGAAGTTTTTATTGTTTTCTCAATGTGTAATTCAATATATGAGCCGATGTACCTTAAAAGCAAATATCTTAAATTATAAGCTAAGATATACCAAGTAACAAAAAAATCTGATGACAGGATAAAGCCGGTCATGGTCCTCAGAGGATTAAAAATTCCTCCAAGAAAATCCCTTTTAGGTCGATAATTCTAGTGTGCTTTGCATTAATCTAGATTAATAAATCGCATTCACAGCTGCCGAGATTTCAAAGAAATTATTTGCATAAACATTTTAGGTGTCCAGAGGGCTGGCAAAATAAATGCAAAATTTCGAAGAATTTTCCGTGTAAACAAAAGATATACATTCGGTTTCTTGACAATAAAACCATTGCTCGCATTACTTCAGATAGACTAGAGACATTTTCATATCATGGTATTTTTGCCATGAGTGTATTTTTATATCATTCAGTTTTTTCTCTGAGAGGTTTCCGAAATATTTATTATTGAATAACCTTTCTTTTTCTGTTTTCCTTACACTCAAAGCACTACAGATTAAAACTGAATTATGTACATACATTTTGGGGCAGAACTTCTTTTGAAACATTTCGTGAAAGAATATATTTTTGCATCTAAACGAAATTAAAAAAACTAACAATAATAAATAATAAAGCACTTTAAAGATAAGTTTATAGAGAATTCAAAATGTTGAATTCTCTATAAATTAGAAAATTCAATTAGAAAATAATCAATGGATCAATGGATTTTAAATATTATGTAGAAGAAAATAAAAAGAAGCTATAAAGCTAATATGAACTTGTTTTCATAATTCTTGTAAACCACAAATAATTTTACCTAGGGAAAACAGGGTAAAATTACCAAATATCAAATATTTTATACTATTTCCTGAATTTGAAACAAGTTATAAATTATATAATACTTTGCAAAAAGCAATATTGCAAAAACCTTTGCTTTTAATTAGGAATACACATCACTTGAGCATTCGTAAAGATCATTCGTTGGTGTTAGGAGATACCAGGATATCCTTTCAGCTTCAATTTCAGCTACTTTTTTTCGTCTGGATTCATTATAAATATCATAATCGTTCCAACAAAAACCTCAAACCACAATTCTGGGATTTCCTGAAGCATCAAAAAGTCAGCTTTTGTCAAAAATTATAAAATAATCAATAGATTCTTTTTTAACTCTTACTTTTTATATAAGGGTTTTTTTTCCCTTTAGTAAAATCAAAACAACCATTTTAACTGTTTGCAAAATAAATTGCATATCAGTTGGAACAAACTGTTTATTAAAAGTGTCATTCAGCTTTTATAATTTTTAAAATAATCCAAAGGGCAATTTCCACAGTAGTGCTATTATTTTCGTTTTGGGATTTTGCGTTGATTCACTGTAAACAGAAATTCTAAAATCTTTTAAAATTATTTTGTGACATTGCTGTTGAATTGAATGGATGGTTTAAATGCAAAGAACATGACATTTAATAAATTAAGGTAACACACAGAACGTTAGACAAAGGACCCTTTGGGCGTAATATAAAATCTGAAAGCTCTCAGATTACGTTTTTTATTTTTTATTTTTTATTTATTTTTTTTTTCTTATTTGCTGTTATTTATTTTGTAAACTAACAATAATAAATAATAAAGCACTTTAAAGATAAGTTTATAGAGAATTCAAAATGTTGAATTCTCTATAAATTAGAAAATTCAATTAGAAAATAATCAATGGATCAATGGATTTTAAATATTATGTAGAAGAAAATAAAAAGAAGCTATAAAGCTAATATGAACTTGTTTTCATAATTCTTGTAAACCACAAATAATTTTACCTAGGGAAAACAGGGTAAAATTACCAAATATCAAATATTTTATACTATTTCCTGAATTTGAAACAAGTTATAAATTATATAATACTTTGCAAAAAGCAATATTGCAAAAACCTTTGCTTTTAATTAGGAATACACATCACTTGAGCATTCGTAAAGATCATTCGTTGGTGTTAGGAGATACCAGGATATCCTTTCAGCTTCAATTTCAGCTACTTTTTTTCGTCTGGATTCATTATAAATATCATAATCGTTCCAACAAAAACCTCAAACCACAATTCTGGGATTTCCTGAAGCATCAAAAAGTCAGCTTTTGTCAAAAATTATAAAATAATCAATAGATTCTTTTTTAACTCTTACTTTTTATATAAGGGTTTTTTTTCCCTTTAGTAAAATCAAAACAACCATTTCAACTGTTTGCAAAATAAATTGCATATCAGTTGGAACAAACTGTTTATTAAAAGTGTCATTCAGCTTTTATAATTTTTAAAATAATTCAAAGGGCAATTTCCACAGTAGTGCTATTATTTTCGTTTTGGGATTTTGCGTTGATTCACTGTAAACAGAAATTCTAAAATCTTTTAAAATTATTTTGTGACATTGCTGTTGAATTGAATGGATGGTTTAAATGCAAAGAACATGACATTTAATAAATTAAGGTAACACACAAAACGTTAGACAAAGGACCCTTTGGGCGTAATATAAAATCTGAAAGCTCTCAGATTACGTTTTTTATTTTTTATTTTTTATTTATTTTTTTTTCTTATTTGCTGTTATTTATTTTGTGATTCAACTGTTTAATATAGGAATTACTAACTATTTTCAGTAAATGTGAATTGTACGTCTGCTTATTTGGAAATATACGAGCAAGAAGTAGCTGAAACCAACAAGCGAGGCAAATACTGTGGAGACAACCCACCACAAGATAGTTACACTTTACTTGCACCCATTACGATAAAATACAAAAATTCTTTAAGCAAATCTCATGGATTTATGTTAAGATACGAAATTATAGGTGAGTATAAAATTACTTACTTCCGTTTCAAGAATCTGAGTGCAGTTGTGAGCTTTACAATAGAAATAAGGACGACAATTTTGTACAGACTTATAAGAACGAAACCTCATTTTACATTCCTAGCAGCCTTATTGTTACGTATTTTGTATTTAGTTAGCTATTTTTGGTAAAATTGTTTTATTCCCAGTGTAATGCAGCGCGTGACATGTTTTAAGTAACAGCTAAGCTGAAAAAGTAAAAATACGGGAGCACGAGCATTTGATAAATAGATATCTCGTAATTTATATTGAAATTGAAGTAATCTAATTGTATAGGTGAAAAAAGGTACATCGTTCATTCTTTCAAATAACTTTCTGTGTTTTGTATTTGGTGCTACTTTGGTAGACGGTTGCACGGATTTTTGGCGATTTAATTTGGGGCAATTGTTGGCGCGGTTTTTACAATCGTCAGCCATCTTGAAAAACGTTGTTTTTACGTATTTTGCGCATAGTAAAGTATTCGAAACTTTAAAAAAATAAATATCGTTAAAAATAATGGATTAATTTTTTCTTGAAAACATTGTTTTTTAAGATGGCAGGCGAATGTAAATAAATAGATTTACTACAAGTATAAAATACTAAATAAAAGGTAAGGTTAAATTATTACTTTCATATAGCAAAGAAATAGAATAAAACACCGCTATAAAAACACTGCGCCAACGTTTAATTGGACTAAAATATTACGTAAATTGAATATCGAATTAAAAACCATCATACCAACGTTTAAAAGAATTAAATTATTACTTAAATTCAAATACTTTAAAATAAGTAAATAAGAACGCTTCGTACACTAGAGCTAAAATGACAGCAATTAGTTAATTGCCGGTAAAAAAGGAGGAATGTCTAATACTTTTTTTACCAGTACAGCGGTTATTTCTTCCACCGTGATCACAATACCATATACGGCTGTCCTCAGAATCGGCTCTTCTAATGATCTTCATCTGTGATCCACTTTTCTCGCACTTCATTGAAGAAGCAATTAGCGAGGTTTCATCTAAAAATTTAAAATAAATTTCCTTTGACCCTTGTAGCAATTTATAAATAAATCTTTGATTAGGAAAGCCAGGTTAGCCAAAATAAGGTCTCATAGGACAATTTTTTTATTCCGATACCAATAATTCTTGGTACTGACCAATAGCAATATTAATCTTTGAAAGGGTCATATCGATTTCCTATGAAATCTAAGGAATTCGAAGAGATGAATAATAAAATTTTAAAACGGCGCGAATTATTTTGCTGCATTTCATTCTAACTTATTTCCTCGAATTTCATTGCAGATATATTTCTCGTTCAATGAATTCAGTTCTGACTTTGCGGCAAGGCAAAAATACACAAAATTTCAAAATATCTTTATTGAAAATTGGAAAATATAGAAAAATATAAAACACCAATTATAGTTAAAACAATTTTTAAAAAAACAGAGTTTTACAAGTAAAATTACATTTTCTACGCAATAAAAAGCAATTCGGCCAGCGGCAAAGAAGGCAGATTTTTTGGTGCATAAAACTGAATGTTTACTTTTGGTCTCATTCGACAAAAAGACACTGAAGGTGCAGAAACTGACTTAATGCACTATTCTGCTAAATTTAAAATATGAACATATATGGCTGCTATGGTAAAAAGATCAGGCATAACCGCACTTAAAAAAACTTTCAAATTTTTGATAAATCTACAACTATTAAATGCAGATTAATTAAAGGCATGAAAACCTTAACCAGAATATAAGAACAACATAGTTCAATCATTTTAAAAGCAAAAAGTGCACAATTTACCAACATATAAGTATAAAAAAACTGAGCTCACAAAGCGGAGTAACAGAGTGGGTATGTATTCTAACCTAACGACATATAAAATTCTAACTCCCTAGCGAGACGTATCTTTTCTTTGAGGTTCAAAACTTTTCATCCTTTTAAACCTATTTTATACTTCTATTAACACTAAACATTTATATTTAGTATTATACAGAAAAATTTTTGAAACTATTAATAATTTCTTGAACAACTGTCATGGAACCATGGTTCCACCGCGAATCAAAGAATCAATTAAGATAGTTATCAGATTTGATTTTAATAAAATTTTACGTCATTTGAATTTTTATAAATCCTTCTACAAAAAAATTTTATTTAATTTGTTTCTAATTGCTTTACTAAAATTCTTTTCGGAAACACAAAGCACAAAATCAGTGCAAATATCTGGAGGAAATCGCTGCTTATCATTTACGCCAGGCTATGATAATGAGTGATTTCTGAGAAGTACCTTCTTTTTTCTGCAGCCTACAGTAATCGGTAATAAAAAATACAATGAAATTCCTTTCATGCAGATTTCGTAATAACTGCTACATTTATCGTTTCGTTATGAGCTATTATTTTCTTTATTTATTTAACAATTTTTTTCTTTTCAACAGATCCAAAGGAGGCGGTGTCATAGTTCCATTGATAGTCGAATAACAGAGAAGACATTCGTCATTCATGTTGCTGAATATATCTGTGAAAAATACAGTAGTTTTGAACTATAACATTATAGAATTAATTAAAAAATTTTATATTAAAACTGTGGGCACTGTGGTAATGTCTGAAACTTATATATCCTGCAAACGTATTTCTCTATTCTTCTGGTATGTGAAGTGTCAATGTTTGTTAAGTGATTTAAAATCAATTTCTGCAAAAAAATGTTTCTAGAGATTCTGATATTTTAACTTCTATAATTTTGTTTTACAGAGAAATAAATCAATATTCTTTGTCAAAACAAAAGTACAATTGTATATCTGTCCAAAGAATGTTTGAAACTTCTTTTATTATTACAATTGTCCCATCAGAAAATTACAAATCTCTTAATCACGAACAAATTTCATTTACCTAATATGTCCTCCGTCGACACCGGCACTGTTCTGAAGTCAATCATGTGTAACAGACTAAATAACGATCCATAAAAACACTTATTGCATTTTATTTTGCTTGAGGAAATATTAATATTTCATCGGTTATATGGAAGACAAGAAGTTAGCTGCTCAGCGATAAAAGCTCTCGTTGCAATCGAACTTTTAAGGCTACTGCTTCTGACTTGAGGAAAAAAATCAAAGTCAAAGAATAATAACTTAACTTTTGGATGCCAAAACTCCAACGTCAAAAAGAGTAAATAAATCTTGGCACTGATTTGGTCATCCGAACTCGAAATCCAGCACAAGGAGAAGAAAAATTAATAAAGTTTTTGCAATAAATAAAATAAAAATCTGAAGTATACATAACAATCAATGAGTTTTTAAGTCTAGTCTGTTCGGAGTCTCAATGAGTCTGTCTTTTCTAGTAATTTGTATTTGCTTAATACATCTCGTAACGAAGTCTGTCTTCTTATTAGCACTCGTGGGCAGATTCTTATCAGCACTCGTGGGCAGATTTGAATCATCAGGGCATCTCTTCGAAGTTGTTTGCGGAGGTATCTTAGCTTAAAATCCTTAAAATGCACATTTTGTTGGGTTGTTGCCACATTGCTCAGCAGAAATTTACAAACGATACAAAAATCCGTTCTGCATCTTAATTTTAAGCAAACATACTAATCCATGTTCACCAGGATATACTTTTCCTATCCAAGCCAAAGGCCAATGGATTCTTCAGTGGTTTTATCATAACTACCAGAACAATATCTGCAACAGCAATTTTTTTGTTGTTACGTTCCTCTGAAGAGTTTCGAAGGTTGGAGTTGAATCTGCATATCCACACTGAAATTCTCAATAACTTTAAGTAAGAAGAATATCTTGCATAGAACTTTCTCGTCTTATGTATGTTCAAGACGAAAATGACTGATTTCTTCTTTTCCCAGCTCGCGAATTGCATTTCGAGGGAGAGTTCATGCTTTAGCCATTCGTTGAGGGCCGTTCGTAGAAAATGAGAACCCTTCACCCAGCCGGACTTAAGTAGGGCTTCAACTAAGACTTCGTGAAATTTTCGGTTTCTGTCGACTTCAGCATTAACCTTTGCTTGTAAATCTTTATTCAACTTCTCCCAAACCTTTCCAGCATTGCGACTGTCTTCATTAGCATAATTTTAAGAGAACACACATGAAGGAAGATTTTACACAATGCACATTCATTTCATGAAATACAATGTAACAAAATTTTATTCTGAAAGTAAAATTCCTTTCAAAATTTAAAAAAGTTCTAAATTTGTATCTGGAGTTTCGTAATATCAATAAAGGGACAGAACTAATTAAAATGAAGCAGAGAACTATAGAATAAAACTTCAATACCATAATATCCTATCGTAAAATGAACAGCAGAGAGAACGAAAATACTGTGGCTTTCAAGTATAGTGAATATATTTCAAATTTCGTGAAGAAATTGTAAGACATTAGGTTAATTGGGAAAGCCGGAGAGATGAAAAATGAGCAATGGCCTTCGCCGGGAATCGAGCAACGGACCTATGGAATACCGGCCCAGCGTGCAGAACCACTACACAACGAAGGCACGCTAGGAAGGCACGCTAGGAAGGCATCAGGAGAAATACCTTATAAAATAAATGTATTGTTTGTTTCGGCAACCAAACATTTCGCCAGGATTCGAAGTACCATTTTTAGCGACCTTATTTATTTCTATACTGGTGAGATGAACGGTCTTGAAATGGATATGCAGCAGCGAATAACAAAGGGAGAATTTTCAAAAGCTGTTACCGTTACGCCAAGGTCAGCATCCTCAGTTCAGGAAATAATTCAAAAGTTATGCGAATAAATCTGGCATCTCTGAATCCGACTTCAAAATGCTAGGAATTAAATTATGAAAGTGGGAGAAATATGCAAGTAAATGCGGTACACACACACACACACACATATTATATATCATATATATATATATTATTTAATTATTTAGCAGTCATTAACAGTAGCAGTTTTAGGTGCGATCGTAATTGTATGTTAACATACGTACAAATACTGCGTCGTTAAGTGTTAAAAGCATCTTTGTAATTATACATATTACACGTAAGTAAAAATTCACAAAAAATTTGAATTGATTTCTAGGGTTCCATAGTCATTACGTTTTGTTCTTAAACAAGGGATGTGAAAAATGTGCAATGCCCTGGCCGTAACTAGAACCTCTTGAATACAAGCCGAGTGGGATACGGTTACACCACAAAGGCTTGCTGGAAGAAGGAAGAAAAATACCTTATATATACTCCCTTTTAAAGGGCGACTAGGAATGAGGGGACCCAATCGAAAAATCCTGGTGGCAACGAATTATCGTCCACCATATTTTAGTTCGGGCGGAACTGTAGAGTTATTAGGATTTTTGAAGCGGGAGACTTGAAAAATGAGCAATGCTTTCGCCGGGACTCGAACCAGAACCTCTCGAATACGTGGCGAGTTTGCTACCGTTACACCACGAAGGCAGGCTAGAAGGAGGGAGAAAATACACTTGATAAATTCACGAAGTTTGAATGGAAAGTGGTCGGAGCCTCGAAAACCTCTCTTAAATGCATCCGAGATGTGCTTGATCGGATTCAGGTCAGATTACCTTGATGGCCAAGAAAGCATGTGCAAGTCTGGGGAATGTTCATCCAACCATTCCTATACAATTCAAGAGCGATGGCGTGGTGCATTGTTTTGTTGAAAGATAATCAATGTCTCGAGCTGTCGAAAACGAACATACGGGGGAGCAGATGGTCTTCAAACATATCCCGATAACGTTCATCTGCGAAAGACGATCTCGTACATACCAGGGTTCCCATTTCAGTCTATATAAAAACTCCCCAGACAAGATTACGACCTCCACCAGCTTGAGGAGTCCCCTGCCGGTAGGAAGGATTCATCGTTTCATGTAATTTACGCCATACACGAACTTTGCATTAGCATGTACCATAGTGAATATCGACTCAATCACTCCAGGCAACATTTTTCCACATCTCCGACGGTCCATTGGCGATGTTCTAGTGCACATGTTAATCGTTGCGACATGTTTTCGGCAGTCATCTGAGCGATCTTCGTAGGAAGATTACTCCTGTACCCCATTGAGAGGAAATGGCCTCATGCAACTTCTCTCAGCGTTACGGCCGGAAAATTCCGCATAGATGGCTGCCTTCTATATTCATTATACATGAAAATTTCTACTAGTTTGTAATGTATCTGATTTCGGTTTGGATGTATATTGGAAGAAAAGGAATCAAGGTACAAAATGAGAGAGTCATTTTTTAATTAAAATCAAGAAAATACCACTTATTCATGACATTTTCAGGAACTTTGAAATTTCAGGGCTAAACTCGTAACACTCGGAGGGTTAATTGTTTTCACGAAATCTTGACTCCCTTTTCCATGGCCGCAATATCTTCGTCTTCGGGTGGGCGCATTCGTACTTTGATTTATTTACATGCGCTATGCAAAACGAACTGGTTAAAATCCTAATGTGGTTGTGTACCAGTATACCAGAGACTATTAGGATTATGATTAGAAAATGGTTTTGTATAGTGCGGCAGCTTACACGTTGCTGTGCTTCAGTGTTAAATGAACGGGTGATCTGCTGCGCTGTGGCCCGTCTATTCGCTGATACAATGCGGGGTAGCCGCGGACTACCTCGGTCATCTGCCTGCTGCTGTCGGCTGCAGGTGACCCTGCCATTGATGATTTTAGCAGAATGATGACATGATTTCAGAGATGCCTGAAATTCCGAGTGTCTGCATTAGGTCCAAAATGACGTGATCCATTCGTCAGACCCCGAAGATTTAGTCGTGATCAAATGTGCTTATATCTGTACTCTTACCTATTTTGTTTTTGACTATTAGTAATACCGTGAGAAGCACTCCTTATTTTGTCAAACTGTTGCTTACATCAATTGTAAATCACTTCCAGGCTTGCGCACAGCTCAGAACTTCATAATGCCAGCTATCCCTAATTGAATTGTTCTTCAGTATGTATATATATAAGTATTTCAAACAGATGTAAAATATTATCATAGTATGTATTGAAAATTTTATAAATAGTTTCATAATTTTTTTCAGTTTAAAAATATCGCGTAATGAATGACAATTCAATTACTTTTTTACAAATTTTAAATCTCATATTTCCCTCAAAATTTCTGTTCCTACGGTTGTATTTTAGATTAATAAACAAAGGAATTTATTATCAATTATTTATCAAACTCTGCTACACCGCTTCATAAATAATTCTATTGAAATATCAGTTTTCCCTCCCTCTCTACTATGCTAAAAGTCTCGACAAGTAACTATTACGAAGATGATCATTCGCTTTTATTTATGTTATTTCTAACACACAAATGTTGCAAAACCAGCATAGTAACAGATGGTTTGTTGTTGAATTAAGAGTAATGTGGTGTTGAATTTAAGATTTTATTAAATAAATTCCTTATATAATACCTGAGGTACTACTTAGTATATAATACCTGAGGCATGAATATTTGTCGTAAACTTCTATATAAAGAAGTCAACATAAAAATACCTTATTTTCACAAGTATATTAAAAAACTGTAGTTTGTTCTTCCTATCATAATGTTTCATCGTCATTTCTTCGAAGTTTAATTTTTCCAGGGTTTCGACTAGTTTCTTCCATTTTATTTATTTATTTATTTATTTTTTCAAATTTCCACTGTCATTACAATAACAATATGTTACATGCCTTTTAAACGTAATATCTGAGCAGGAATGTTACAAGTCATTAACGTTTTACTATTACTTTGCACTAAAAGCTCATCACGATATAGAAACAGAATGGTAA